CTCAGAAACTGTTAAGAGATCAAAACATGGCTGAATGACAACTACCTGCAGTTAAATGCAAACAAAACTGAGACTCTCATTACTGCCCCTGATGATAAAATCCCAGTTATCAGGCGGGATCTTACGTTTTTAAATCCTTCGGTAAATAATAATCTCAGAAATTTGGGTGTCGACTTTGATAGTTCTTTATCTTTGGACGGTCATTGTAAATCGTTAGTTAGAAATTGTTTTTAGCATTTAAGAAACATTTCAAAACTACGATGTATGGTATCACAGAAGGAGATGATTGTTCATGCTTTTATTTCTTCTCTTTTAGATTACTGTAACAGACTTTTAACGGGTCTGAATAAACCTTCCCTAGCTCGCCTTCAATCTGTGCAGAACGCTGCAGCACGGCTGCTAACTAGAACCCACAGAACTCCTGTTCTGGCCTCTCTGCATTGGCTCCCCGTGCATTTCAGGAGTCATTTTAAAATTTTGGTCCTAACTTTCAGGGCACTTCATGGTCAGGCTCCCAAATATTTATCGGACCATTTAAAGCTTCTTGTGTGTGTTTTTTTTTATCCCACAATTGCTGTGAAATTTAAGTGTGCTCAAAATTTTGCTTGTTGTGCAGGTACTTATTTGTTCTTGCTGTAGTTAAAGTGTGTTTTATTCATAATATGCATGTTTTTGTGTGCATATAATTAATAAAAATAAATATTTAGTTTTTGTTGTCTATACGTTCTGCGTGCTCATAAGATATAGGAATATAGCTGTTAATTTCCCAGCATCTTTTTAAGTTTTTGGGCATGTGTTGATCTCTTATCTCTAAACTGGACCTGCCTACAGCGCGGTAGGTTTCTGGCATACGTTGGTAATCTGGTAACTGGTATAAAGTTTATTTGTTTTAAAAAAACAAACAATTTCATAAACTTTAAAAAAAATACAAGAGATTTAAAATGAAAGGCAGCAGAAAGAAGAAAAAATCTTATTCTACCTGCCCCTTTTTTCAAACAATATGTTCAATGATAATAATCTTCAAGTAACAGAACAAAATGAATAACTCTTTCTAATTTTTCTAACTCTAATACAAAACACACTAAGCTACTTTATATATATATATATTTTAACAATCCAGCTTTGATCTTTTTCTTAAATGTACACATTGATTGGCATTTTTTACATCAATCTCTAGAACATTCCACAATCCAACTCCTTGGATTGAGGTAGACCTTCCCTTCAGACTAGTTCTGAATTTTGGTTTGACAAATATCTCTATCCCCTTAAGATTGTAACAACTTTGTCTTTTAACAAAATTTATTTGGATATTTAATGGTAATGTGTTATTTTGAGCCCTATACATAACTGATAAAATACTGTAATCTACCAAATCATGGAACTTCAATAACTTCAGTTGATAAAATAATGTGCTTGATGGGTGACAGTAATGATTTCTGGTGATAATTCTTATAGCTCTTTTCTGTAAAATAAAAATAGACTTTGTAAATGTTTTACACGCTTTCCCCCAAACATCAATGCAATAGATTAAATGTGGAACAATGATT